AAAAAGAAAGGAAGGAAAAAGAAAAAAGAAAGGAAAAGAAAAAAAGAAAGAGGCTAATCCTCATGCCAGTTTTGAGGAAGTTCCACCCCAAGTTCCCAATCAGGGAAGACACGCCGGGGTCAGCTGCCCGATGGCGGCAGGAGGCAGCGGGACGCGGGCGCAGGACTCACCGGAGATCCCTGGGGGCGCCTGGCACCGGCGGCACGAACACAAGGGCAGAAGCTCCCATTCATCCCAGTTGGCAGGAGCTTTGCTCCAGCGGCTCCCGGGAAGGGCAGCTGCTCTCTCCAGCAGCATCTCCTCCCGCCCAGGGCTCAGCAGCGTAACTGGGAAGCACGATGATCTCCACGTGAACACCAGTGCTCCCACACCACCAACTTTACATCTGCAAGCTGGACAAGAGAGTAACTGACAAACCACCTTAACAAAATGATTTTTATTTCTTTTTTTTTTTTTTAATTATTTTTTCTTTTTTTTTTTTTTTTGACATTTCCGATGTTTACAGATACGCTTTTACTTCTGATAGCACAGCGTTGCAGCAGCAAAAATCCCAGCGGAGCAGCGGAACTCCGACCCATAAATCCCAGCACAGAAAACAAGGGACAACCACCGATATCTCTATACACGAACTGTAATTTTAATGTCACATTTTGACAACTGCAAATGGTCTACAGAACGGACGTGGGCAGAAGGCAGTGAGTCTTTTGAAACACTAGATGTATAATCAACAGCGTATTATCAACATTGACATGAGTCACACCAAATTGATGACATCCTAAAGGTATTCCTTTTAAAGGATAGAGATTTTTCAATAAAATATTACATTTCATTTAATACTCTGGTACAATACTTCATACATTGCAGGAAAAAAAAAATAAATGCAAGGTCTACTCCACTCCACCTAATAGGATCCTTTTTCATTAGTCTTTAGTACGGTAATAAAAAAAAAAAAAATCACAATAATGTCATAAATAAACAGTCTTGAAATTATTAATTATGTTTCACTATTTAAAAGGGAGAAATTAAAAATTAATTTGAAATAATGGAGTTATGGGTAAAAAAAATCAAAACCTGACAACACATCCTAGTAACAGCTGTGATTCTCCCCATCCCTACAACAAAAAAGGAAACTGGTCTTATAACTTCGTTAGCCGTATCCCAGTTAATCGTGTTTCAAACACATATCTTAAGAGGAAAAAGTAAAGTTCGCTCAGGATTAACAGGAGAACCAATCAGTCCTAACACCAGTCAGCTGAAATTAAAATGCACGCTACAAAACATTCCGTAAGTCCGCAGCAAGGTCGTGCTGGCATAAATCATTGTGCCTTCGGAGTTGGGTTCAAGTTCCCCTCGTGGCAGAAAGTCTTCTGCGACAGAACACTTCCGAACCGCGTCCCTCGCCCAGTCCAACGGCACGGCAAAAGCTTGGAAATCACTGCTTAAAATTTGTTCTCTAAGAACTCACTAGAAAGGCGTGAAGCCCACATTCACTTATCTCCCCAGAACCAAAGGACATTCCTCTTGCTCTGCCATAAAGCCCAGCCGTTATTCCAAATAATTTACGGAACCGCTTTAGGAACCGGCTCCCTTGCCGGCGCACGGAAGGCAGATGGATTTTATTCCACAAGGTCTCCCCTTTGGTAGTCAGCAGGGCCCAACGCTCCAGCGAAGAGAGGAGTATTTATTCACAATCTTTCAGACTCCGTTCCCCCCTCATGGACATTCCTCCACCGTATGCTCCCCGGGATTAATACACATTCTGCAGTAAGAATTCCCTGCTTCCAAGAAAACAAAAAAAACCCAAAAATCCTACAGCGGCAGGTTCTAAACAGCTAAAATGAGGTCATGAGGCAACTTGACATTGACCATGTAACTGATTGCTGCTTATACAGGTCAATCTTTTAAGACACATCATATTAACTGAGTTCATAAAGTTCAGAGTCATTCCGGATCCTTCCCTCATTCCTCTTTACTCCCCCCCGACGTCTCAGTTTGGTGCAGAACAGCTCCAACCCCAACCAAGCGTTCCACCTCGCTGGCACCCATGAAGTGGAGAGTCTGTCTGACTGCACAAAGCTTCAGACACATGTTCAACTGCTGTCAAGTGCTCTGTACAAACACCAACACTCACAACT